GATGAAAGTACTAAAGACTCGTTGTTGAGAATTTTTCTTTTTATAATATTTCTTCGTCCGTAAGGATAATTTTTCTGATTTATAATATATATATATATTATATAAAGAAAAATTCTTAACAACGAGTATTTAGAACTTTCATCTCTTCTAGGAGATTCTTCAGACTGTTTATTTGAAGTATTGAAGTCATACACTATGACGTCACATAATAGTTCGCTATAAAGACATCCGCCATATACGTACCCGCCATAACGATATCACAGCAATATAAATATATTAATCATAGTCTTAAGGCAAAGAGTACTTTTTGTTTAGGATTTAGATATAGTTTATGACGTCAATACTTCAAATAAACAGTCTGAAGAATCTTCTAGAAGAGATGAAAGTACTAAAGACTCGTTGTTAAGAATTTTTCTTTATATCATATTTCGCTATAATATCTACAATACATATATATATAGTAGATGATAAAGAAATGGGTCCTTGTGATATATATATATAATAAATTAATTAATTTACGAGAGAGAAAGGTGCTGGGGGAGGGGGTCCCAACTGCATGCTTATTTAGTATTTAACGTCAGAGATAAAACCCAGACCTAAAATATCTTTTAGTGTTATAATTACTTACCCGAGAAAGTGTGAGGAATAGTCAAGAGTGCGCTTCGTTGACTGTTAGATTGCAGGTATACGTAATAGTCTCCTTCGTGAGCATTTTGCGGGCCTGTCCCTGGTCTGGTGTTGCCCTTATAGAAATGTAGTGTATTAAACACATGGTACAGTCGCTTTGAAATATGCCTCGGCAATGTAAAAGAGTCACGACAGAAAAAATGAGATACGTATTCTACTACTTCTTCGTTGTTATTTCGTTAAATATATTTCATCGTCGTTAAAAGTATTAAAACTGATTATACTATGTATGTTTGTGCTACATTTCAAAAGTATGTAATAAATGATGTAACAAAACAAATGTGTGTTTATGTGTGATCATGCATAGATGTTCAAAATGTTAACGGAGTATATAAAACAGGATAATATAAATGTACCTTTTGTCTCATCCATTTCGTCTTTCTGCTAACGGTGCAAGGTTTATAATCGATTTCAAACGTACATATCAATAGTTTATCTACAAAAGAAGACAAACAAAATTACCGTTTGTGCATGACCATAACGAAGCGACAAAAAGAAATTAATTTGTGGTTTGTTATGTTTAGATACTTTTGATATGAATAACGACAAACTACAGACACAAAGCAAAATCTAAATCATATCTTCACAAGATCTGTCATCTCTCTCTCTATCACCGTCTATCTTTATCTCTCCCTCTCTCTTTTATTTTCTTTCTGTCTCCGTCTTTTCCGTCTCTGGCGCTGTCAGTTCGTGTCTCTGTAGGTCACTCTGTCTTTTTCCGTCTCTGGCGCTGTCCGTTCTTGTCTCTGTGGGTCACTCTGTCTTTGTCTTTGTGACTTTTGTTGTTTTTCCTCTCTAATGATATGCTCAAACTAAAATACTCACCGCACTCGAATGGTAGCAGCTCAAGATCGTCTATCGCAATATCACCTTTTTTATTTGTAGCTTCACCGACAATCGTCAGCTGTAAGCAAACATGATTATAACAAAATTATTATTAATATTATTAATTATTAAAAATATGTTTATGAAAGCTTATTGATCACAAAATGATGGGGTGAAAAGAATTATTATTTTTATAATATTGCTGCTAAATTTAAGTAGATTACAAAATAAGCTTAATTAAATAAGCAACATATTTTTTGTTTATATTTAGTCAAATTTAGGCCTGACCCTTATAATTAATCAATTCAAGTTGATTCGGTATTCACAGTCCTGAGAAGAATATCAAAGCATTATGATATATAGTCGGGGAACTTACATAACAGGGTACAAAATAACCCAGTATGACATAAACTATGTTCAGATTTAATGCCGCAATCATGATGTTTTTGGGAAATGTATTAACGTTGGGGTTACTTTGGTTTAGTTGCATCTTGTTTTCTGTCCTATTAACAGCTAAGGTCATTATAAGAAGTGCCTCTAGGTGTGAATTATATGCGTGCTTGTGTGTATATGTGCAGGAGGCAGAGTGTGTTGGTGTATTTTCCTCCTTGCGATAGCACTGATCTGATGCTGACTTTTGAGTGCTATCTCACTGAAATACCATACCAAAGGCACCAAGCAGAGTATTTCGCCCAATCACATTATACTGACAATGGATAGGCCATTTTTTCGATTACCCTCAATGCTGAACGTTAAGCAGAGAAAATCAACTACGATTTTTAAGGACTTTATTATGGTCCGGCTTTGGGACAGAACCAATTGTCTGCCCCACTTCAGTGAATGCTCAACACTAAGGCTGAGAGTGAGATATCTTGAACGGCGGGAATAACGACGTTTTTATAGTGTGCATGAGTACATGCCTTGTGATTTCGTTGTCACAACATCATTTTCTTTTTGAATTTGCGGAAGAGACATTACTTAGATTTCATCAAATTGTTATGACGTGTCTCATGGACGAAAAATGTGACATCGTTCCTTTCAAAACATTTTTTTATTCTCTCTTTTTGTACTTTGCAATGTTTTCAATGTCAAATCTTTCCGTGTTTTGGAATTTAGCCAGGTTTTCATTGCGTTTAAGCTAATAACAAGTCTTGTTCGCATTTTGTCCTGATAATTCTTGAATATTTATGTTTAATAAATGTCCGCGTGATCGATATCATACCTGAGATGAAAGCTCAATCGACATAGTCTCTAAATGCAACTATATTTCTTAATTAAGACGGCAGCTTTGTAAATCATTTTCTTACATTTTCTGTAATATTGATCAGGATGGTTTCATGTGAAATAGCAACAATATCACTATGTGACTAACCTAGCGCTATGAAATTATTTATAATCGTTTTCGTCCAAATGTTTTGTAGGTTGATTTTGGGAGGACGATATCGAAATATGTACGTCTGATCACTATTCTCTACTAAACATTTTTGTATTCAAGATATCATTGGATATTAGACTGTGTATGCTTTGCTTACCCACACACCCCACCCCCTACAAACACACCGATTCATTATAATTCAAAACTTTCAACTTTCAAATCTTTCTTTCAAGATGTCGACAAGACGCATGAAACTTTTGAGTGTTTTACAGTGAAGACGTTTATTTTAATGATGAGAATAACAAACAAGAATAAAATGATAGGATTAGTATTTGATCACTATACTCCTCCACTTTATGCATATTTTACCTGTGGGAGATATATAAAATTAAATTAATTTCTGGCTTACAATTGGGAAACAGTGTTAAAAAATGTTTTTACATTTGACTGTGGAGTAGTGGTCACATCAATCATTTTCGTAAACCATCTATTTCTTTTGTTCCCGTTTTCTTCAAACAAGGTCGAATTATCGTGAAGCACAGCAAGCGATGCTATATCCCTTCCGTTCATGTTGTAATTCAAAACAAGACAACGTGCCCGTGCTTAAATGAAAACAAAATATATTAAAAAAAACAACAACAAAAAAACCCTGAGTAATCAGTAAAAGAAATGAAACAAACATTTGGTGAGAAATACCTTTAATATATTAAAAAAACACACAGTGTTTTTGACTGCAATGGTATTGACTAGCTGTATAATTCACCATCACATACCGACTGTAAAATTATATTTGCATTTGCTTTGCATTGTCATTATATCCTTTAGGGAATGTAATTTTTTAATAAGATGTATCCCTTTAAGGCCAATATAGGTTTTCAGTTGAATGAACAATAGCTTTTATTTTAGGGCTGCAAATTGGGTTGGGATAAGTTAATTAAAAATCGCTCATATTTCTAAATGAGATAAATGCAGCATCTCATAGGGAGGACCAATGAGCCATGACATTCTTAGCTGATATGAATGCCATCGAAAGTTGGTAGGGTTATATAATGTGTATGCAAACAGAGGTAAAATATTTATTAACAACGTCTTATTTATTTATTTATTTGTACGTAATTACAAATACAGTAGTTCGAAGGACCATATCTGTTTTCATCTATCTAGTGACTTATCACTGTCTGTATCATAATATAACCTGCTCATCAGAACAAGATTTAAATATATAAAATTTGTAGTTAATGTGTCTACTTGCCACTTAAATCTGCTTCTAATTGCAGTGTTGACGTTGTTAGGCGATTCTTTTGTGCATCTGTACGTAAATATATGTTTCCGGCATAAGCTCCCGATGGTCCAGTTGACCTTTGCGGTGTAGGACCCTATACACATTAAAATCAATTAGAAGGTATTACCGGGCATTCTTCTGCAACTACTTTTAGCTGTTGGGCCTTTGCAACCAGACAATATTTTTCTCAACTCCCTGTGGAGCATACAGCCGGTGATGCCATTTAGGCACTCACAGCTAGCATTCAACAATTCCAGCACTCCCCAATCACGTACTCATTTACAGCTGAGTATAATGGAACAAGTGGAGTAAAGTGTCAAGTTCAAAGATATAACACAATGCCGTGGTGCGACTCGAACCCGCAATCCTTCGGTCACGAGCCCGGCGTCCTACCACTAGACTAGGTGCCTCCTATTTCCTTATCAAAATAACACACGATGTAAAATGAACCTTATGTGATAGTATGGAATTAACTTAGATACATATTGTGTTAGAATCAAAAGATGGATACAATAAGCAGCAAGTACATGTAACGTAACTACTTTCCAAGAAAAAACACGTTCATCAGTTTTTATATCCTACTATTGAATATAAATGACTTATCCAATAGGTCTATGTATACGCACAATGTGCAATAAAGGTAAGTAATCCCATATGTTCAACTTAATGGAATAATCACAAATCATACAATTAAAAGGAGATTCAATCTTATTAAATCATAAATATGATCTCGATTAGGTTTCAGTACCTTGGCCTTTCTCTGGTCGATATACTTACCGTTTGAGATGTCCATAGGTCAGATTCTGACGAGGGGTTTATAAAAGGACATGTTGTTCCAGTTTCGAAGGTGCACTTGATTGATGATTCATTAACTGTAGTCAAATAAGGAATAATACAACTTATCAGATCCCCTGACGGGACGTTCTTATATATGTTAAACCATAAAACAGCAGACTATAATGCAGAAGACATTGAAGGCGTGATGAAGACCATGGAGATATATTACATTATAAAAGTTGTTAGTAACCGGTTGCTTTGTTATTGAAACTGAATGAATAATAAGAACAAATTATAAGAGTATTTCGAAGTGTAACATGCTATGTCCGAATTAACAAAACATTACCATAAGTAGTTTTACGGCCAAAACCAGACTTTAATGGAGTTGTACGATTCCATATAATCAGAACTGGAAATAGTTCTATCTTAATTCTTTATCGTTTAAAGCCATTTTACTAGGTATGATGAAACAGGCAAACCTTATTTTCTACCTTGCAGTTTAATGGCCTCATAACTCACACTGTGCTTTCAGGGTTTGTCGCTCGAACAATGTTCTCATTGAGAACACGTGAATTTCTAGAGGCCGCCGCTGGTTTTTAACGTTCAGAAAATTGTTTGAACGACAAACCCTGAACATATAATGTGATAAAGTATATGTGATGCAATTGGGATCCAGTGTGTTCCACTGTTGGTGGTGTAGGGTATATTTTACACTGGGCGAATAAGGACTCTGCCGGTGAAGGGCGAAAGTTTAACGGTATACACTATAAAGTTACAACCAGCTACTTACGTGGTATTTCACAGTAGGTCCCGGTGAAGTCACCAATGCAGTTACACAATAGTGTCCCACTCGATTCATCACATATTCCACCATTGTCACATAAAGTGAATGATAGAGATGCACAGGTAGCTAAATGGAAAGCGGAACAAAGTATACCTTAACAGCAATACAAAGACAAAACCATAAATCACTGTGTGTCCTTCTTCATTATGTAATGCATAATGTACAAGAAAGAATTTCAGAACCGATTCATAATGACAACGTATTTTTTTTCAGCCTGGATAACTGAAACAAGACTCAAGAGTGTACTTGTAAAAAGAACCTGTCGATACGGAATAGCATGTTTCTTCAATATTTAAATGATCTTTATGATATAAAGAAACAGCAATTAAATTGGAGGAATAATTCTAGGAGAGGATATATGTTATTGTAGGAAGTCCTTGATAGGTTTATCATCCTTTAAAATAAATAAAGTCTGAAAGTTTGAAAAATATAATTAAAACAATTAATTGGATACGATATCACTATATTTTTAAATTATTTTGATATTTCGGTTTCTTTCACATACGCGATAAAAAATGTTAAAACCACTGATCTATGGCAATGTCTTCTTTGAAATAAGACAAAAGAAAACAAGGTAAATATTGTATACAAATCAAAATATATGATAGATATATGAAATAGTTAAAGAAATTCGCTGCGCTTGAATTAACTGACAAAAGTATATGTTAATGGTTTTTCCACCAAACTCTATGTTTTTTCTCAATCCCGACGCGATCAATTAACCTGTTAAATCTTAGTAAACATTGATATTTATCCACTTGTAAGTAATTTCTAGGACGTTGTTTCATTGGACTGGTGTTTTAAGAATGACGTCATTTTCTTAAATTTTATTTTCCATTTTGAAACTACTTGTTAATGAAGTTGTATCGTAATCATCAATGCCTCCTTTTCAGATGAGTTCTATATATTTAACCTATAAAAGTCGTGTTGCAAGCAAAAAACACCAACAATTAGGATAAATAAAATCATCAAAACAATAGCAAAAGCAAACTAAACACCTTCGAAGTAAAACCCGATGATACAACCAGTTGATAAAACATTATAATTTATACTTATATGTCTTTAACTTTATCATTACATGAACACAATTACGTATTCACGCATCGCATTGCAATGTTCCATATTCGGTTTGTCTTTTAGTGAATCTGTGAATGAATGAGTAATTGGCCTGTTTACCCGTGAAATGATGAGACGAAATCGTACTGCTTATGCCTTTTTCTTTGTATTCACTCGACCTGGAAAATATCGCTTACCGATAGAGCGTGAATTCACTTTGTTGAATGGCTATTAATTAAGTTGTCTATCTAGATCATAAATAGACGTACCGTTACTGCATAGCCCCGGGCTGATCAGTATATTGGTTACGGCAGCTGCTCCTAAGTAAATAGTAGCTGAAAAGCTTATCTACAACAGTATGTAAAGAACAGTCATTATACCAAAACTATATATAAATCAGAAATATGTGATAGCTGTTAATTCGTTATCGAATAGACATTTAACCAACAGTGAGAAGAAAAGCAATTTGTAAGACACAAAACTCAATCAAAGAGCCCGGTTACAACGTTAAGATTAGACAACTTGATATCGTTTAAGTTTCAGCGTATACATATCTAAACTACGGCATATATAACTTGTTTATGTAAACATGATGTTGAACCTGTTGACAACGTGACCTCGTTCTTTCATTCTTTATTCGGTTGAAAGGCAAAACTCATATCATGATAATATAAATCCTATTAGTAGAATGTATATTTGTCAAAATAAGTCAGCAATGTACAGAATAGATATTGATCAAAATAACTCAGCAATGTACAGAATAGATATTGATCAAAATAACTCAGCAATGTACAGAATAGATATTGATCAAAATAAGTCAGCAATGTACAGAATTGATATTTATCAAAATAAGTCAGCAATGTACAGAATAGATATTTATCATAATAAGTCTTCAATGTACAGAATAAATATTTGTCAAAATAAGTCAGCAATGTACAGAATAGATATTGATCAAAATAAGACAGCAATGTACAGAATAGATATTGATCATAATAAGTCAGCAATGTACAGCATAGATATTGATCAAAATAAGTCAGCAATTTACAGAATAGATATTTATCATAATAAGTCAGCAATGTACAGAATCGATATTTATCAAAATAAGTCAGCAATGTAAAGAATAGATATTTATCAAAATAAGTCAGCAATGTACAGAATAGATATCGATCAAAATAAGTCAGCAATGTACAGGATATATTGATCAAAATAAGTCAGCAATGTACAGAATTGATATTTATCAAAATAAGTCAGCAATGTACAGAATATATATTGATCAAAATAAGTCAGCAATGTACAGAATAGATATTTATCAAAATAAGTCAGCAATGTGAAGAATAGATATTGATCAAAAAAAGTCAGCAATGTACAGAATATATATTTATCAAAATAAGTCAGCAATGTACAGAATATATATTTATCAAAATAAGTCAGCAATGTACAGAATAGATATTTATCAAAATAAGTCAGCAATTTACAGAATAGACTTTTATCAAAATAAGATAGCAATGTACAGAATATATATTTGTCATAATAAGTCAGCAATGTACAGAATATATATTGATCAAAATAAGTCAGCAATGTACAGAATATATATTGATCAAAATAAGTCAGCAATGTACAGAATATATATTTATCAAAATAAGTCAGCAATGTACAGAATATATATTTATCAAAATAAGTCAGCAATGTACAGAATAGATATTTATCAAAATAAGTCAGCAATTTACAGAATAGACTTTTATCAAAATAAGTCAGCAATGTACAGAATATATATTTGTCATAATAAGTCAGCAATGCACAGAATATATATTGATCAAAATAAGTCAGCAATGTACAGAATAGATATTGATCAAAATAAGTCAGCAATGTACAGAATATATATTTATCAAAATAAGTAAGCAATGTACAGAATATATATTTATCAAAATAACTCAGCAATGTACAGAATAGATATTTATCAAAATAAGTCAGCAATTTACAGAATAGATATTTATCATAATAAGTCAGCAATGTACAGAATAGATATTTAGCAAAATAAGTCAGCAATGTACAGAATAGATATTTATCAAAATAAGTCAGCAATTTACAGAATAGATATTTATCATAATAAGTCAGCAATGAACAGAATATATATTTGTCATGATAAGTCAGCAGTGTACAGAATAGATATTTATCAAAATAAGTCAGCAATTTACAGAATAGACTTTTATCAAAATAAGATAGCAATGTACAGAATATATATTTGTCATAATAAGTCAGCAATGTACAGAATATATATTTATCAACATAAGTCAGCAATGTACAGAATAGATATTGATCAAAATAACTCAGCAACGTACAGAATATATATTTATCAAAATAAGTCAGCAATGTACCGAATAGATATTTGTCAAAATAAGTCAGCAATGTACAGAATAGATATGTATCAAAATAAGTCAGCAATGTACAGAATAGATATTTAGCAAAATAAGTCAGCAATGTACAGAATAGATATTTGTCATCAACATATAGAGTGTAATCTGTATCATAGAAATGATATTGAAAACAATCAGGTTCAATATATTTATTGTTGTATTATCCAATCCTATATTTATGCACGTAAGTGATGTAAGGTATTTATCGAAATACAATATCATTAAACAAAACATAAAACTTTGTTACTCCAACTCCAATATCTTCAAATTATATATCCGAATTAGTAACAAATAAAACAAATGTTGTGACAGTCATATTGTATCAATATCTATTTAATAAAATATTGACTTTCTAACACTTGAATTCAACCTTCATTGATGACAAACGGTGTTACTATCGATTTTTTGTTTCAGATGTTCATTGTTGTCGCTTTATCAAGAGAGAACTGCAGTCCCAATGAAGCAGGACACACATGTCAGCGATTATAGAAATATACGTCACATTTGATGGTAAGTAGGAATGAAATATTTGAATCCATGTTGCATAAATAACAGAACATGACATTGTAAGCATACTGGTAATTTGTCACCTGTCAGGGTTATAAGGAAAGCACATGCTTTAGAAACACATCTCGGTAGCTATCGTTAGCGACGAATGGAATTAATTGACATTTGTAGCATGATGAACAATGGTCTGTATTGCTGTAAAGTCGCCGGCAGTTCGTAGCCAAGGTCTTTGGTCAGTGTGTCAGGTTGGTTTTGGTCTCCCGATTTGATTACCATTACAATCATTTGTTTTAAAGTAAGTTGATGACATTTGACGTTGACTTAACTATTTTTGCAGCATCTAAAATTGCGAGACAATGATAAGATCTGTCAACGATCCCTGTCCCACTGCACTGTAGTTTTTAATACCAATAGTAACCTCCCCTTAACTTTATCATTAAATAAAGATACATCAAATTGTAAGCATGAATTCCGAATTAATAGAAGGTAACAGCAGGTTCGGACAGGCGTGTATACCAAAAAAAGGTAGACGGAAATGTGACGCCTGTTAGATGGAATGTAATCATTTCTTCTTTTGATAATAACATACACAGCATGGCAGCTTTTATTTCAAGGAGGCATGGTAGTGAAGTGGTAGGACGCCGGGCTCGTGACCGAAGGATTGCGAGTCACGAACGTGGTTAGGCAGTTCTAGATTTGTAGAATGTTAGCTGTGAGCGCCGAAATGGCAGCACCGACTATATGCTCCCCAGGGAGTTTGGAAAGATATTGACTGGTTGGGAAGGCCCTATAACCACGGATAATAATTTGTGAACCTCTTTTAGACGACCTACGAACTACGTTGTGATAAAGAGGTACAATTGTGGGATCGCACAACGTTACACGATGTGAAGTGTTCGCACGATGTGTGCACGGTGTGTGAACGATGTGTGCACGGTGGACGAACGATGTGCGATAACAATCGTGGTTGGTGTAAAATGAGGAATGCCTTAACAATATATACGGTTTCGTGTGTAAACAAATAAAATTTATTTTTATGTATGTTTCTATATTCTACCTACATCTATAATTTTATCTTTATGTCTATATTTTCTTTCGGTATGTTTTAAACGACCTTAATCGACACATATGAAAATACAACACAGTCCCGTATACAGGCAAACATAGCCACTTTGTACATGTACCTGGGCCGTAGTTTTCCCCCGCCCGGGGCGCTTACGTATTTCGTCGGGTAGGGCCAAAGGTGTAAAAACCCAGGTGAAGGGGAGCTAAAGGTAAACCGAATGCAAATAACAAATACTAAACGTACGGTATCGCATATCAGCTCTATGTGTCGTGCACAGGCCAGGTAAAACTCCGGTCACTCATCAAATTGTTATTTTCCTGTTCTGTTACCTGGAGCCAAACCCATCCAATGGTCACTGTAATGCTGTGTTACACGCATTGTGGAATTGTACATAATCTTCATGACCGTGATATTTTTCATTCCGTAATATTGATCTACAAATTGTACCCAATCGCACAGTTGTGCGGAGAGAAGCGCACAACGGGGCGAACGATTGTGGATGATGTGCGGACGGTATGAGAACGATGTATGCACGGTGTGCGCACGCTAATTTTGGTGGGTTGTGCGGTCACACAACTGTATATAAGAAACTCGAACTAGTATTATTATAACTTTAACGAAATGTCAAAAGTACGGAAGTAAACGTGGTCGTTGCCTTCTTATTTAAAACGTTAGCTTACACTGACGTAATGAAGGTTTTTCTGTTTTATAGTCGTCATCATAACTCTCCGGGAAATATGATATATTGCCTTGTGCAATATGAGGATTGCTCAAGAGTATTCTTATTATGAAATAGGTTACTAAAAAAAAAAAATGCAACTTGAAAAAACATTTCATTTTGGAATCTGAAAATTTGGGACAAATTAAACGTGATTTAAAAAAAAATAATTAAAACTGCGTTGAAAATTTGGTCGACCTCAATGCGATTCGAAAAAAAAAAGCTTACTGCTTTAAAGTCTGGCCCAGTTCAACGCCATTTGGAAAAACAATAAGTGATGATGAGATGCATTTGAAATGGTTTCATTTCGTTCATAAATACTTTCATTTTGCATCAACGAAAACAGCTAATACAGTCAACATAAAGCATAATCATTTCCATATGATAAAGAGGCTAGGTACCAGTGTATGCATACAACGAAAGGGGGATAATACCAAACAATTAAAAGTATTGATTTTTTTTTTGATTTTTTTTTAATCACAATGTTAAGTATCCTAGCGAATTAATTTTCTCAACCTGAAGTCATTTTAGTGTATCAAGTGATGTCCTTAAACAGTAATGTACTTTTGGCCTGCGAAATAACAGCTACCGTCAATAAAAATCGGAGACAGACATCAACTCATAGGAATAAACATATATTAATCATTCCTTTCGCGTACATCTGTATTATTGCATTTGACATAACATAGCAGACTTTTACAAAATTGGATGAGAAAAGGAGACAATCATTGTTTAGGTTTTGGAATATGCAAATCTTACTCTCGGATAAAGAATTTGAGCTCGAAACTTTGGCAAGCGTCTCTCCCTGATGCCCGTCAAGATTAGGGAAAGGTCTAATATAGGCTTTAAGTCTGTTGTTCAATCCTTTTGAATTTATACCATATATTGTGCATGACATTTGTTGAAATCGAAGCAGTGATACATGTACTTACTGGAGTATTATGACCTTGCCATACCCATTAAACCTTAATATAATAGATTTTACTGATATCTTCGAACACTTTGTCTTATATATAAACGTTCCAAACATATGTGTAGCTATAAATATTGTACCTTTTCCACATGCCGAGATAAAGTAGCTTGCCTAGAAACGAAAAACCCATCAGTATCCTCTGTTTCCGACACCAACTTGACCGTCCCGTCCTTTTCAGTGTATGTTGTTCTCAATCTTGCATTCGAGTTTTGGGCCTGAATGGCAGCCTCGTCAAAGCTAAGACAGCGTACTGCATCTGTAAGATTTAACTCACTCTGTCAACTGACGTGATGGTCCTTAGTAGGTCTAAACTCTTGTTAAAGTGATGGTTATTAAATAATTCAGGTATGACATGTTGAATGAACAACTCGGCACTCCTTCCCCTTAAATGATGGCAATGCTCATGTTGGAGCAAGCACATATTGAGCTCGGGAGATAAATTGTCCCTGTTGAAATTTCACTCTTCATCTAACTGCAAATAATGCTAAAGCAATTCGTGATTACTCATTAATTCTTTAAACGTACCAAAAACATATTTTGAATTCAAATAGTATATCAATTCCCCGCAAATGTAGCTTAAGGAAGGTAGAAATCGAGCAGAATAGCCAAATCTAAAAAGCTAAATGTTTTTGTACCTTCGAACTCCACATTAGATTCCAATAGTGCCTCGTCTGTTATGTAGTATATTCCTATTGTATTGGCCAGAAGATAGGGAGACAGAACGTCGGTCTGCGATTATATGAGATACAAAAAAAAAACACTTTATTATATGAAAAATATTATAATTTAAACCTTATTTTATAATCGGTATAATATTTCAGTGATACAAACATAATATGCATAAAGTATTCGAGATTAAGTACAAAGTACTTATGTAAATCCGTTTCTTTTTTTGTGAGACGGCGATGAGACAGCACTGACTTATATTATAAATAGAGATAACGGTATATGGAAGAGAAGGGGATGGAGGGAAATAGGTGAACGGGAGTTTTAAAGAAAATGTTGTTGAGGTTAAAATATACAGAGGAGTGAATTAACTGCAATATGGGAGGGACAACTTGTTGGAGTGTATTTTAGATATGGACACATGACGAGGACTGTGCATGTCACTGAAGTCTTCAACACATTATAAGTTAATTTCATATAATGAAATCTTTCTATGCCGACCCCTGTGTATTCCGACATCCAGCGGTGTACAGAAACCTGCTGTTATCTTCATTTTTAAAATAACTTTGTTTCATGGGTCCATATCTTAAAGTTTAATTTATTTCTGATCTTTTCATCTACATATTTATATATATTAATAATTCAAATTAAAGCATACTGATCAAGCTGTTCGGTTACTGTATTGGATTCACTTCTTATTTATACAGTAAGTAAGAGTGTTTCACGTATATTAATCAACAGCCCTCCATATTTTATCGCATACTGTTATAAAACATTTTTGATTATACATACAATATATGACAATGGTCATTCATGTATATGAATATGATATCTAGCACATCATAACAAACTCTTACTGGATTTCGAATCTGAAAGAATTCGACAGCACCAGCCGACACGTCCGTAAAACAGCAGACCCCTTCGACATCCGACTGAACGTCACAGCCAACAGTAGCTACAAATATAGAGTGAGGCCTTGTAGGGTTTATTCAAAATAGAAATAACATGTTCAGAAATGCTCTAGTATCCGTACGCCTCTAACGAAAAACCCTTACGCCATATATCTAAGGTTACTAATTTTGTATCAAAATTGTAATGACCTTAATTTATATAATGTAAAATGACAATGAGAATAAGAGGGCAAATTCATTATTATTTTCATTGTTATATATATATATATTTAAGTTAACATATTTGTTTGCATCTCATGACATTGAATACTGTTTATATCGACAACTCAGAAATATTTCATATGTTAATGTATACAAGGGGATTGAAAGGCAAGTAATACCAACTCAAATTGTCGCATTACATGAACACGTTAGGGATATATATTTTCTTGAAAACCTAGCTTATATCTACGAGGGTTTCTGCTCTGTTGCTGATTATTTTGAAGATGTTTACCCGAGACTTACCAGTAGCAGTAACGAAGTTACACGTATCTCCACTGTAACCCGGGGGACAGATACAGAAAGCAGGGGTGGAAATATCTTCATCACAAGTTCCTCCATTACGGCACGGATTATCTACACAACCTGTAAATTATATAACAACTTATAGACAACACAATGATAAGCAGAATGTATTTTTCATATGGAGCACTATAGCAACGTATGATGTGTTCAAAATGTTTGATATTTAGTAAAAATCATATAATTACACACATAAATTGACCTGACTCGAATTGAATTGACCTGTTTAAATGTTTTTGTACTAGTGCCCCAAAAATACTATTTCCAGCTCAGGACGTCACATAGCGCGTGCAGACGTTCCCAAATAAATTTCCGAACAGGAAAATCAATTCCCAATGAGTATTATCATGATGACAACCCATGTCAATGCCTTATCATGCTACCTGTAGATGGTCTTCAGTGGTGTCTGTCAATAGATGATAACACGTGATACCTATATGCAACGCATATTGCTATCACCCTATTTCAAAACGAAATATGATGATAAAATTCAACCAAATGAAAGAATTTGAACTTGAAAATGTCTCAAATTCAATGCACATGTTCATAAAGAACCCATTAGTTTTTGCATGTAAATATAAAAAATGAAGTGCAGATTAGGTATGTAGTGGTTCAGACACTGACTTTAAATAATATCGTGTCCAACCGTACAATACTTTTGGGTCGTTTACAGAATGATGTCTCGTTTCTATAAAATACAATTTGACGATATCGAAATAAGAATACTTTACAGCACTTCGGGAAAATGTTTTCTCAACCTTTTTTCACAAACTCGCCATGATTATGATTGTTTGATAAAAGTGATGTGTTACCTTGAAAGAGTAGGACGTACCAGGGACGAGGCGGGAAAGTGTTTTATGGACTTATATTTGATAAGTGTGATTGTTAGTATGTGAACTGCAACGCTTTTAATAATCATGGCGGTACTTTGTGACATACTTATTTTTTCAATAGTTGATTTAGTGGTGATTTATTCTATGTAACTTGTATATACATTTTAACCTTTTTCGAGTGTCCACTTACAGGACTGCTGACATTTTCATCTACTATTCCATTGTTATATTTTACAGAATCGTGTTCCACATACTCATCGCAATAGAGCAATATGATATTACCATCTGGTGATCATATGGATATTGATATGTTATTCATTCCTGGTTTCCACTGCATCCCAATCCAATACCCCCTCCCCTATTCCCGTTATTATTCTATTGTACATATTACTTCATTCTTGTAGCTAGTATTAAAAAAAAATACTAAGCAGGTAACAAATTTACATAAGTATCACGACACTTGTTTTTGTTTCCTTTCCTGTTTTATAAAACATGTATTTCGATGTATTGTCAAACAAAATTTGAATAAAACAAAGTTTAAACCAACCTTTTTTCGGGTTTTATTTAATCTAAAACGTTTTCCGAAAGCTGGACAAAAATGTGAAAAAAGAGGTTTAGCAACCAGTAATGCAAACATTTAAGGTTACAAGTGATGTATTTATTTATATACATTTATATTGATATGCCTTAAATAAGAGGCGATTATGTGATTGCTCTGTTGAGGGAGTTGTTACCGGTGATGAAAAGGAATAGATACATTTTCGTTATAGCAAAAAGCTTGAATAAAATTAGAGTATAGTTAATTGGTTTTATGAAATAAACAATTAGTAGTATTTGTTTGTTATTTAGGTATTGGCTTAGCTAGTTATTTCACCGAGTCTTGCTATATAAGCCTAAGGCAAATATAACTGTGGTGAAAACTAATTGAGGTAGAAACCTCAGGCCAATATAACGGGCCGAAGACTACTAATAACTCTATTGGTTAACGTAGAAGAAACTGCAAAATGTAAACAACAAGGACAAACACAGAGCAAGTATAAAGACAACGCGTCGTAGTTTTGTAGCCTCCAGTATTCAAAATGAATAACATCCGTTACTTGTTCTGTGGTGTCTGTTCTAACTCCGACATAAAAAGTTAACTCTAAATAAAAAGTACGTTTATAGAAAAGAAAACGGTTGCTTACCAAAATTAAAATACGGTTTTACTATATAAACCGTTCAGAAGTCCGCTGACCATCTCTGCCAACAAGAAATCTAAAACGTTCACCTTATTCTTATATCATTCCGTGTTATCAAGATAATTCCTCCTCTTTTTTGTTATGTATATGGTCAATTCTTCGTACTGAAGGAGGTTCGTCGCTCACCTACTCTCAAATTGTTATATATTTTTTTATAACTTTTTTTATTTATATTGTTATATTATATATTAAGTCGCGTAACGTAACGTCCATCTATTTGCGTCTAAATGATTGCGTTGAAAATACCGAACGATGGAATTAGATGTTTCGCGCGTTTTTTGTGAAGACCGACTTTTCTTGTTTTAACCGTTTTTCATTGTTTCAATAACAAGATTGCTTATAAATACGTATTCATTAGTATTGGATGCCTATATAAAGGATCTTACATGGGTTTCCATTTTATATGAGATTTATGAGACGAGTCTAAGAAATTTATTCACTGGATAACACAGTGCCTTATGTGATAGAATAAATATATGCTTATATGAACAATTAACTACTATATCCTTATTTTAACAATTAACTACTTAATGTATTACAGTAATCACTATGCATACACGCTTTCTGTATAACATACAAAAACATATCTATCTCATGTTTTATTGTTGCCTGTTTTAAGATAATTTCTTACCTGATGCAAATGCTGTCAGTTCCAGGCTTGCGCCGGTTCCAGGGGTTATGCTTGTGTCATCGGCATGTAGAATTACCATTGCAATATTAGCCTCACCGTTGGGGAATGTTACGAACTCCTTTTCAGACGATAACGAGCCGCACTCCCTTAAAGTGTGAATTGTAAGAAAACGGAAAGAGATAATGATATCTGATATATGTATACATAAAAAACAAACAAATCAGAGCATTCGATTTTTCCCCATAAGCACATTTTGACATTTAGATAGACGTGATATTTAGTAGATTTCAACTAAATTCACAAATTATATTTCGTTGAAGAAACATGCAGAAATCAGTATCGTTAGATACATAGTATGTACCAATTATCTAGCACATCTTTGTACAAACGTATCTGAAATTTGAATTAACATTGTCCAGACATTTGCTACTTGTGGACTGATTGTAACACTTCAACTGGTTGTGTGATTTAATACATGCAATGCATTGATGGTCTCCCTTTAATACTGTATGGAAAGTAAGAAACATCAACAGGAATTTATTTAATTATAAAACAATTATTGATCTTACTTTTGTTCTTCATGTAAACATCAGCGTTGCCGCTGTAAAATGTATCCCTTTCTGATATAGGTGAAGGACATTTTATAAAGAAAAAGTCTTAGGCGCCGTAAAATAATGATGTCACGCTAGACAACAAAGCTGCGCACCATTTTGAAAGAGTGAGTCGGTTTATTCTTTTTGATTTCTGTAAACATCTGGTAGTATTTGCTAACAAATAGTTATTAATTGTGTATTAACACAATGTTCAACAACCACTAGTACTGCCGTCTGCATTTGACCAGAATAGCCGAGGCCTTGTATGTATTGAGTAGGAAGAATCATTGTGATAAGTCAATTCCAATACCAAGTGTAAGACCGTTACACAAAAATCCCTTTTGATATCTGTCACAATGGAATATTTCAGTTCTATAAAGTTAACATAATTCAATGACTTATTGGCAAAATATCTCTTTAATATATCAAATCATAAATAATGTTTTATGCAACTTACAGAAGTCCTAATTCTCCCATGAGATGGGTTCTGAATTCGAGGTCATGACCACACGGGACATCTAAACCTTTCAGCGTTATACGTATTCTGTTGTTGACGGGGGCCTGTAACAGTACACAGCAATGAGAAACATGTTTTTATATGTATGTGTTACCTGCTTTTAAGATTGCCATGGTTTGCCATTTGGTATCTTGACTTTGAATAAAAAATATTTATACACTTTCAATATACTACTTGCTAACGCGCTTTAAACTTATGTGTTACACATATTTTAAATGTAAATATACATTCAAACACACAAAATAAATACTTATTTGAATAGATAAAGCCTAAGTAATAATAAAAAGGTATCATTATGGTCCAAAAACACAAATTCAACAGCAAATTAACTATTCACCTTGATGAGATAAGTGCATGCTTCGCCCACAGGATATGGATTAGGGAAGCCGCTCGTATCGACTAGTNATGCTCTCAAATTAGTATATGTGATGCGTCCTTTCTCGTCGTCATTGCATATAGAGACGTTAGTATTGAAACCACTTATGTAGGTAGGTTTCTCGAATTATATAATAAATAGAATCTAACACTCGTGTTCATGTTATATTGAATTTATTGAACTCGTATATTAATTTCATATGAAATTAATATACTCGTTCAATAAATTCAATATAACATGAACACTCGTGCTAGATCCTCTATATATGACATGGTCTTTTTTCGTGTAGAATTATATCGAAATTATGAAGGGGTTGGGATAAGCTGCATTAACAAAGTACTCTATTTTTCATAATGAATCTACGAATGCATACATGTTATTTTAAAGCAAATAATGTTACCAAATATTAGAAAGCAAACATTTCAAGTGTGACAGTTTGTCGTAGAATGGTTCTAGCTTGTACCTTCACTAAATTCAGTGTAGTAATATGGTAATGTAAGAGCAGCATATATGAGTTGTTAAAACAAACAACTATGTTGCACATCAAATTTAAGACGAATTTTCATAAGTTGGCAAAATTTAATCAAAAAATGTATTTTTTTTACCTTAGATGAATCTATACATATTTTCGAAACTAAATTATGTCTGAATCGTTTGATTGAAAACTATCTACAAAAATGTTATTCATTTTCACAATTTGAAGTATACCTTATATTACAATTCCTTGTATTAACAACTTCCATTTCGAATACTGAAAAGTATTTATCATCTAAGAGAAGTTTATAAAGCTTGATATTCCAATATTGTCCCTCTATTAAAGCGGAGGAGGCGATGCTGCATGTAAAGACATGAGTAAATGAAACGGGGATTGTCTTCTAAACCTTTTAACTTAGTGTTTCTTTTTTTGTGATACTTTTCCTTTCCTACCTATATTTGTATGCCTTTCTTATTGCCATGTACACGTTTCCTCCTTCATTTTTACAACTTTCTTGTTGCCATAGACACACTAGCCTTTTCTTCCAAGTCCTGTGTGACTTATCAGACAAGGAGTTTACTAATTCAATAAACAAGTACAGCACTTACTTGTACGATCTGCACAGGTAAGACCAGTGAGATACTCCGGACATCGACAATGGCATTGGTCGTTGTTAACTGTCTTACGTATGAATCCGCCGTTTTCACAATTATCAGCACAATCTACAAAATACATTGATCTGTCTGTTCTATACATTATACATCAATATTAGTTTAGAACCTACACTGTGTCTTTATTAAATAAGAATTCCTGTCTCGTATATATCCGCAGTGTACATATACCAAACCTTCTGCTCCTTGCCATATCACAAGCACTTATATTTCCATTTCATATGAAATAATTAAAAGTTCATAATTACTGACATGAGATCTATAAACTCTGGTAGCATACCAGTGAAAATGTTCATCCCCTTATCATCAAGCTCAAATAAGTATAAGATATGTATGAAATCGAGTTTCTGGACAAAACAAAATCTATTTTAAAATGATATGTACATGTTGTATACTTTGCGGATTCTGTGTAGGAAAAAACCGTCTGTACTGGCCATAACTTTGCAGTATACAAAATTTTACATCAATATTACTCTCTATTTTATATCTGCCTGGTTTTGTTTTATCTTTCGTGCACAACAGTGTTGACGTTTGTGTAAAATAAAATAATAAATGAATGGTTAAAATCTTTTTTGTACATCAATGTTGCTGTTTTTAATTTTTATTATATTCATTGTACATGCATTTTGTTGTTTGTTTTATATCTCTATTGTACATTAATGTTGTTTGTTGTTTTGTATCTCAATTAAACATGGATAATAATGTTTGCTTGATATTTCTATTGTAAAAAATTATGCTGTTTGGTTTTGTATCTTTGATGTAAATCAATGCTGCTGTTTGTTTTATATCTGTATTGTACATCAATGTTGTTGTTTGTTTTATATCTCTATTGTACATCAATGTTGTTGTTTGTTTTATATCTCTATTGTACATCAATGTTGTTGTTTGTTTTATATCTCTATTGTACATCAATGCTGCTGTTTGTTTTATATCTCTATTGTACATCAATGTTGTTGTTTGTTTTGTATCTCTATTGTACATCAATGCTGCTGTTTGTTTGTATTTTCATTGCACATGAACTTTGCTGTTTGTTTTGTATTTCTACTGTTCATCAATGTTGTTTGTTGTTTTGTATCTCAATTTTACATGAATATTACCGTTTGCTATATATTTCTATTGTAAACAAATTTTGCTGTTTGGTTTTGTATCTTTGATATACATCAATGTTGTTGTTCGTTTTGTATCTCTTTTCTGCATCAATTTTGCTGTTTGTTTTATATTTTTATTGTTGATCAAATTTCCGTGTTTTTTTTGTTTTGTTTTACATCAATGTTTTTGTTTGCATTGACTCGCTATTGTAGATCAACGGTGTTGTTTATTCTATATCTCTATTAAACATCAATGTTGCTGTTTATTTTGTATATCAATTGCTCGTTAATATTACAATGCTTTCCATATTCCAATGATATCTAAGTATATCACCATTACAGTCTGTTTTGACCTGCATTATACTCAAATACAAACTGCTTAGTTAATATATTTATATATGACATTTGCCGTATGATATTTGTTATATAAATATACATTGCTGGAAAGGAGAAGACATTGAGCGAGTGAATGCGTTGAGAGTAGTTAAATGATACATTGACATTTGAGGGTTATTAAGGAGTACATACCTTCGTCACACTCATACGCCCTGACAATGGTTTGACTGTCGTAATGTGTGAACTTCCGGGACAACGTGTACAGGAGAGAATTGTACGAGGGATCTGACGTCTGCATTGTTCCCTGACTTGATCCACATTTATTAAATATCTGTGGCAAAATAACCCCAGATTCAATTCATAAAAGAAGGGTTTGATAAAAAAGCCCCAGTCTTAAGATATGAATGAGGCAATATATTTGAGTAAAAAGTGTACATACGTGTATCATTTTTAATTAATGAAAATTGATAAAGATTGTTTTGGATACTTCCTAATCAAAGCACACTTTTAATACACGTAAATTGGTTAAATATTACACACACACAATAAAAGAGCAGTATATTTATTGCGGCATGAGTTTAAAGTCAATATAGATCAAATATCAATTAAGTTGGGGATAGTACGTTGCTTTGAGTGGCTATACTGGCGATTAGAACATGAAAATCGGGTTTGAACTCGGGACCGATAGGTCGAGAGTTTAAACCAAATTTCATGTTCTAATCGCCCGTATAGACATGAGAAACAACGTACTATCCCCATTCTAACACACCTTAACAAATATACTACGCTAGTATGTTTAGAAACATTGTATTTCCTTGTACAAAAGAAAGTAGTAAAATACTTTGTGACCTGAACTGGCAACGTGTCATTCTGCAGCGGACTGACTAATCGAAAAGAAGCTTTCAAAAGTCGGTCATTTTGCCCCGCCAATATTGGCGAGAGCTCGATTTGTATGTTGACGAGGCGGAATATTTGGATTGTTCTTGAACGTCCTGTTACCAAAGTTTATATAACACATTTGGATTAATATTGACCAAGTTCTTACATTTCCATGTCAATATGCATATACATCTGTGCTTATCGACAAAATCGGTGATTATTTGTATAGATTTGTAAGATACAATAGTAAGATACACCCTAGACTAGGGTCGTCTGAGATGAGTACACAATAGTAAGAAACACTCTAGACAAGGATTATCTGTAAGAGTAAGACTAGGATTGTCTGAGATTAAGTACACATAAGTAAGGTACACCCTAGACTAGGATTGTTTGAGATTGATTACACAATAGTTAAATACATAATATACCAGGATTGTCTACTTGAGTAAAAAATAGTAAGCTATATAAAGTAATATTGTACAATACAAAACAATCATTTTACGGCTGGGACGTATTGCATGATGGATGTCCAATCAAATTCCACGTCAGTTGCCAGGGGTCGCTTAATGAAATTGAAGATTGTATTCTCAACGATGCATTCCCAGTTGATTTGGAGGGCAGAGTACCGATCTGGGCGTGACTGCTCGTGCTCTAAACCAATTGCGTGCATCATCTCATGATAAACGACATAATCCTGAAGAAAAAGAAATGATTTTTTTTTAATGAAAAACAGTTAAGCCCCTCGCCCCATTATACAGTTATCTCAGTCTATGGTAAAGACCGGAAAAACCCATGTCAAAACAATTTTATGACGTCACGTTAATAGCAAATAAAGAGAAAAAACTCAAAATTGTTGGAAATTATTACTTTAACCTTTGTATTTAATTAAATTCCGACTTGTATTTAATGAACCAAAAATAATAATTCTTAAATTAATAAAAAGACAGAATATTCTCAACGCAAGCGAGGGGAAATATTCTTATTTCTCATTGTGGAATGCTGATGTTTCAGCACACATTAAATGCAAGTCGTTATTAAAGGAATCAATGTAATCTTGTCATGCCAGATGAAGTAATTAACAAATAGAATTAAATCAAAGCGTAAGCAAATCAGAACAAACATTCTAAAGAAGGTAACTAAACTGCTGCATATACCAGAAGGTAAGGTCAACCCGGATTAACGTTGGCTTCAACGTAGATTTTTGAAAAAAATATTTTTTCTGCAAGAATATATGGCAGTTGGAGGCTTAAATGAAACTTATTTAATTTGAAAACACATTGACACGTGTAATTGTTAAAGTAATACCTACAAGTTGCTCTAATGGTTATAATGACAACAATTTAAAACCACGGCCTGATACATTAACATCTAGTCAGTCACTTCCTTATACAGCAAATATTGAATACACATGGTGGTAATGCTGGCAAGTCTATCACAAATTAATTATCTGACATATGAACATACACACTCTTACTTACCTCATTACAATTGTCGGTCACTTGGTCCAAAGTCACTGTGGTAGGCCTGTTATATTGTCGGCCAATATATGCTGAACAGCTATTAAAAAGAAAGTGCAATAGACAACGTAAACACTAGGCGTTCTCTTAAAGCGTGTCGTACCAAACTTATGATTAAACTGCAGATAACACCAAGGTGATTGGATTTTCAGTACGTTATTCCACCACCAGGGCCAGCAGGAAAATTGTTTATTGGGATTCGGAATAGATTTAAACAAGCCATTACCGTGCCGGTCATGCCGGTACGTTATCAACATCATTTACGCATATTTGGATATATATCATCAACTTTGAATAAAGTATTATTGCGAAATGAGCATTGTTACAGTACTTATTCTGATACACACAAGCATGTAAGCCAGCCGGGACATTCACATACTTGTAATATTTGTCGTGGTATTCAAGGTAATTAAAACTTTAATTATTTGCTTACAAACCATCCTGGTCGCCACCCACAAAGTCTACATATTCCTTTTCGTCGGATCTGGCAGCCCACTGTAAACACGTTTCCTCACGAAACATATCAACACCTTCTTGTATCCAGGTTAGGAAATCGTCACCTTAAAATGGAATTGAATATGATTGATAGATAATATAAAATCAATGCCAACCAATACTCTTTCACTACAAGTTAGCGTACGGAAAAGAACGTATCGGGTATATCTTTTCTCGAGATGCCTGGTCTATTTAATAAGTTGAGATTGGAACTACGGTATGACCTTAACAAGAAAATTTACGAGGGTTATGTTTAAGAGTCTATGTCAATAAAGAAACGCATTCTAGCATAACAAGGTCTATTTACCCGATTACACCCATTGTGTCCACATCCCCTTGCGCGTAGGATTGAGTTAGGGACATTTGATTTTAGCATAAATCAGAAAAATAATGGTGAAATTTATCAATTTCACCCTATTTACCCGCTCTGCTCTGGTCTTACGGGTGAATGAGCGTGTTCATGTACATACTATCAAACTATCAAGCATGTTCAGATCTTTGAAAGGAGATTGCTTAAATGACTCCATACGGACGTATCCCTCATGCCTTTAGGGTTAGATTCATATCATTCAAAATTGCAAACAATATCTAAATTGGTTCAGTAGTTCATCAGTGCAAAAATTTAAGTCTTTATCAGGCGGAGGAGACTGACAATGCAAGACAACAGACAAAGGTCGAATGCCATTTTTCAACAGCGAAACTGCCCGTGTGACCTAAAACAAACCTAGGTACGTGTACTGTGATATTACATGAGTCAGATCTTGATTATTGAAAAAAAGAATTTTTGAAAATATGCTGGGAAGGGAAACATAATTCATCACTAGTTACATCATGAGACAGTTCCATGGATCAATTGGATTAATGAAGTTAACAGCAATTGTCCTTTTGTACAAAAAATGGATCCGTTAAGGGAAACCAATGCTCTTTATCTACACCAAACCGAGGAACACTAATGGATATATATATTTGAAAGAACGTACCTGTCTGCATATTCGTCGTAATAAAGGGAACGAGATTGTTTGGCCACGACACGAAACTAAGGTACTTTGATTTTTCAGAAGCACGCTTCCGTCTGTGTGACGTCATCTAGAAGGAATAACAGAACAAGGCAATTCATCTTTTGCAATCTAAATATGAATATGAACAAAGTTTATTTTTCGTGTAGTTCTTTTAATATACTCACTGTTCACAAGGGAAAAAAACCCCATAATAATCTATATTTAATGTACATTTAATTTGCGAATATATTTTAATGTATTCACGCTCATTTAGATTTTCTGAAAACGTATAAACAGAACAGAGGGATGTTGTTTTGTTTAAAATCGTTATACATTTGCATTTTTTGTGTGTAAAAACAAGTCTTTTTTCTTGTGACTTTCGAATTGTTATTTAGTTAAGAATACATATTTACTTCAGAACATGCACCAAAGTTGTTTTTGTTTAGACATGTATATCACCCAAAAAGTCTCGAGACGTCAAAGTCGACAACCGAAAAGTTTTGCTTTGGTTTTTGTTTTCCTAGATTCGTGAAATATTGTTTTCTTGTGTCTTTCGAACGTTTGATTTAAACCAACGTAAGTTCCCTTATATACTTGTACCGTAGTATTATACAAGCGTTCTTTTAAGTTTGGAGTTGTCTCCCCTCTCCCGTTGACACACTTTAGAGGCTAAAACATTTTTCTCTTCTCCATATCACATTTTAAAGATATTTCTTGCATGCTTTTTAACCTGTTTTACATACTGACATGACTATAAACCATACAGTTTATATAAAATAATACAAAGTTCGTATAGTTTTGACAATTCCTTATCTCACTCACAATGAAAAAAAGAAATAGATAACAAATGACATACTTATGCTTTTATAAAAATGCATCTGTACCTGTTTCCGGGGTAAGATCTTGTCAGGCTTTTTGAGTTGTATTTGGTGGCCAAAGTTTGGCTGTAATAAAGTAAATGCAATATATTGTATTACAATTACACTGTTCTGTAGACAAAACATCGTTCCTTTAGATAAAAAAAATAAGTGAAAACCCTTGAAAAGGAAACGTTAATACACTAAAAAAAGGCATCAAAGTCTCGGTGAAATAAATTAATGATAATAAGATACTGTTGTTGTCATTCTCTATGGTTTTTGAAGACGGAATTACATATACATCTGTCTTGTTTCTGATTTCTCCTGCTTCATTTCTTATGGAATATCGTATAGCCTAAATAGCCATTCGTATGTATGTTAGAAGTACCTTTCTGCTATATTTTTCAAATGTGTATCCTATTGACGGTGTCAAATATGATTTGCTGCCATTAATTTGTACTATATTGAATGCTTCGTGTCACATTAACAATCTACCAAAAGAATGAAAGTATTGCTGCATTTTGAATGACTTTTAAAGGAGATAAACCAAACAAACAAGCTGTAGGTTTAAGGTGTAATGCAACACACCAACACTGTTACAGAAGTTACGAGTATAGCGTTGAAGGTAAATCGAAACCTAAATTTTATATAAATGGTGTAAATTATTTTTTTGCATTACCAATATCTATCTTATAATTGTGTTACTATTTTGTGAATTTAATTGATTTATTAAGATCTAAGGGATCCCATTGTAAGTAAGCTACAATGTAGTTTTATGGGTTATCCCAGATAAGGGCCTAAATTAATCGAATCCAATCCAGTTTTTTTAAACTCTGACTGACTACAAGTTCTATGGCACTAGTAACTTATAATTAGCATCAGTGATACTATGTATTGATGTACACTGGCATGTGCTATACGTGTAATGCCTTTTACCTGAATAATATTATCGTAAAAGGGCGACATAAAACCTCTTCAACAAATTACATCTGTCGTATGTAGGAAAACACACGATATAAGCTTAAAAACAAATTAAATGAAAAGTTTGTAAGTTGACAAATATATCATCAATTTCATAACATATCACATATGTATTATGTTTAACTCAATTATTCCAGCTCATAATATATGTAAAAGAAATAACTTTAGCACCGATCACATATAAAATGTATAAGACCTACAACTTTCGGTAGATATCAATAAGGAGTTACCAATTTATTGATATCCCCATTCCTTCCCACGAAGTAATGTCGGTCTGAAGACAGCTTCTCGGCCGGTTTGAACTCTCCAATGTCGATCTTTTTTTATGAAAACAAATACACACGAAAAAGTAAAGAATAATTATGGATGCACATGAATTCTGATTTTAAATGTTTCTAGTTTCTGCGGCTATAAAGGTAGAAGACTTAAACATTACAGCAATCGACCGGGATATAGTGACATCAAGCGTCAGTGGGTCAGTAGGTCACACTTCTTCGGGGGATATGCATCCTTTAGCTTAACTAATTATGAAAATATCACAGGTTTATGATTTGTTGAAATTATAATAATAATAATTCGAGGTTCGTATATACCGCTTTATCACAACCTTATGCGTAGGTCGTCTCAAGGCGATTCGCAAATTATTATCCGTGGTTATAGGGTAATGGCAACCAGCCAATAACTTTCTCAACTTCCTGGGGAGCATACAGCAGGTGCTGCCATTTCGGCGCTAACAGCTAGCATTCTACAATTCGAGTACTGCCCAACCACGTACTCGTTTACAGCTGAGTAGACTGGAACAGGGGGGGGGGGGCGGAGTATATTGTTCAAAGACACAACACAGTGCCACGCCGCGACTCGAACCCGCAACCCCTCGGTCACGAGCCGAGCGTCCTACAACTAGACTACTGTGCTTCCGAATTAATTCAGATAGCCTTGATATGACCATGTCTTCAAAAAACGATAAAGTCCGTGCCAGGTTACATACCTGTCAAACTTTAGTTTTTTCAAACAAAGTTTACTTTCGTAATAGAAAGGATGACAAAAACACAGATCACAGTCACAAACGATACACTTACCACATGCGATCCGTTAGAGTCTTCAATTACCTCTCTTACTAGTTTGTTGTATTCTTCAATTGTCATTTTCTACAAAGTTAAAAAAAAAAAAAACGGTCATTCAAATAATTAATATTGATAATTATATTGTTTAAAAAATGATATTTATTTTTAGTAAAAATAGAAATGTACAAATAAAAAAATATAGCAAAAAATCAAATTTTATATTAAGAAAAAACAACACTTGGTACATGGGAAGAAATAATCATTTAATATGGTAAGTTTATTGTTGATTATTTCATGAGTGATGCATTAAGACCAGTTAAGTTCTGTCCTCAAAGCGAAATCGATTTCAAATTAAGAGCATTGTTTAAAAAATGACGAAAATATACAATAATTAATTGCCATTGTTTTCTCAGAGTGACCATTTTGAGTTATATAGTATAATAAAAAAGCAAATCTTAACACAATACAATAACTGCAATAATAATTAGCAAATTATCAATGGGTCATGTGTTAATTCATTATGGAGAGTTTGTTTTTTAATTTTTAGAATATTCGATATGTTTTTGATTCGATCACACTGGGTGATTGACAAAATGCCGCTTCATAGATCATGTTTCGTATTGATTTGTTCATAAAGATTGATACTACAAAACAAAGCCTCTACTTTAGAGAAAATAATGAGAAAGTGACAATATCAAACGGATTCAGTATTCAGCAGCTATGAAAAATAGAATAACCCAGTCAGGCCATTCCACTGTACTTTAAGGGAAGTACATTGTACATATTTGTGTGTGCTGCTTGTGTGGAAAACGACCGTCTGAATATCTCCTCTTTATGAATGTTTTCAATGCCTGTAAGTTTTCCGTAACGAGACAGGAACGGGGAGGATTACAGCTCTGCGGTATTCAACATATAAAATATGGTCTCTCTCATGTTAGTGAGGAGGCCCTGGAAAATTATATAGCAAAAGATGTGAAACATGTAACAAAAGAGTAAAACATTACAATTAACTAGTTAGGTGTCATACAATGTGCCTTCATTACAGTATTTTTGACCGCGTGGTAGTTATCTCCCCTTTCCCCACATGTGCCTTCATTACAGTTTTATTGACCGCGTGGTAGCTATCTCCACTTTCCCCACATGTGCCTTCATTACATTATTAATGACCGCGTGGTAGTTATCTCCCCTTTACTCACATATGCCTTCATTACAGTTTTATTGACCGCGTGGTAGTTATCTCCCCTTCGCTCACATGTGCCTTCATAACAGTAGTATTGACCGCGTGGTAGTTATCTCCCCTTTACTCACATGTGCCTTCATTACAGTAGTATTGAATGCGTGGTAGTTATCTCCTCTTTACTCACATGTGCCTTCATTACAGTAGTATTGACCGCGTGGTAGTTATCTCCCCTTTCCCCACATGTGCCTTCTTTACAGTATTATTGAACGCGTGGTAATTATCTCCCCTTTCCCCACTTGTGCCTTCATTACAATATTATTGATCGCTTAGTAGTTATCTCCCCTTTCCCCACATGTGCCTTCATTACAGTTTTATTCACCGCGTGGTAGTTATCTCCACTTTCCCCACATGTGCCTTCATTACATTATTATTGACCGCGTGGTCGTTATCTCCCCTTTCCCCACATATGCCTTCATTGCAGTATTATTGAACGCGTGGTAAGTATCTCCTCTTTCCTCTCATGTGCCTTCATTACAATATTATTGACCGCGTGGTAGTTATCTCCCTTTCCCCGCGTGTGCCTTCTTTACAGTATTATTGAATGCGTTGTAATTATCTCCCCTTTTCCCACTTGTGCCTTCATTACATTATTTTTATACCGCCTTGAAGTTATCTCCCCTTTCCCTTAATGTGCCTTCATACAGTATTATTGACCGCGTGGTAATTATCTCCCCTTTTCCCACTTGTGCCTTCATTACAATATTATTGACCGCGTGGTAGTTATCTCCCCTTTCCCCTCATGTGCCTTCAATACAGTATTATTGACCGCGTGGTAGTTATCCCCCCTTTCCCCTTTCCACTTGTGCCTAAAAGAATATCACACCTACCTGTTTTCGCTTTTCGGAGAGTTTTATAGGTGCTCCCATGTTCTTCCATTGTTTTGCTAAACGCTGTGTGAGACCTTCTCTCAAAGCTTGTGCTGTAAAACCAATGTTGAAAATGGACATAAAATGTGTATACGTTTATTAATCGAATCGATCGTCTTAAGGTTACTAAATTTGCATTGAATAATATTATTATTATAATAAAGCGAAAGCTTTTAATTTTCCGACCGAGATTTTACCGTTTCGAGATACAGTTGTGGAACCGCACAACGCACTAAAAAAAAGCGTGCGCACACCGTGCTTACATCGTTCACACACCGTCCGCACATCGTCCACACATGGAACGTTCACCCCGTTGTGCGCTTCTCTCCGCACAACTGTGCGATTTGGTATCATTTGTAGATCAAAATTACGGAATGACAAAATTACGGAAGGCTTATATGCGATAATGTACACTGTGTATACATCTGTAATTTCTCATCACAATAATCAAGATTATACAATTTCACAATGCGTGTTACACAGTATTACAGCGACCGTTAGGCTGTCTGGAATTGGTTTGGCTCCAAGGTAACAGAACAGGTAAATAACAATTTGATGAGTGTCCGGAGTTTTACCTGACCAGTGCCTGACACACAGAGCTGATATGCATTACCGTTTGACCGTAATGAATTGTATTTGTTATTTGCATTCGTTTGCCTATAGCTCCCCTTCACCTGGATTTTCACACACCCAGGCCTTACCCGACGAGTTACGTAAGTGCCCCAGGCGGGGAGAAAACTACGGTCAAGGTACATGTACAAACTGGTTATGTTTACCTAGTGTATACGGGATTGTGTTGTAATTTGACATGTGTCGATTAAGTTTGTTTAAAAACACAGAAAACACAATTTCTAAATCTAAGAATGTATAGACAGAAAGATAAATTTATAGATGTTGCTAGAATACAGAAACATACGTAAACATCAAGTTTATATGTTTAAACACGAAACCGTATAAATTGTTAAGGCATTCCTCAATTTACACCAACCACGATTATAATCGCACAACGTCCGTCCATCGTGCGCACAGATGTGCGCAAGCAATGATCGTGCAGCTTTTTATCGTTCGCCCATCGTGCACACACCGTGCACACATCGTGCGCACACCGCACATCGTGTAACGTTGTGCGATCCCACAACTGTAGCAAGATATCTGCTTCCCCAAAGACAATGTTTACATATCGTAGTTGATTGGGTATTCAGGTTTGCTCTTATATCACGATTTTGTGACAGATGCCGACCGCTGACGGACAAGCTTACAACTCCTGATTTCAAGAGATACCGGTTGACAGGCAAAGTTTAATGTTTACTATCGTGGTCTTAGCGTAAAATATCATATTTTCCCGATTCTCTGCAAGAGGACGTACCATTCCGTGATATGACCTGTTGAACAAGATATCATTCAAGTTATTAAAACAACAAATAAAAATTAAAAAGTGTGGTAAACAGAAGTTTGAAGGCTTCGCATTTTTCACATATCGTGAGTTTTAAAACTCCATATCTGATTTTTGATACATTTCTATCAAATTTTCAATTATATGTGTGTATTTGTAATGTGACGTAAATGAAACTATGAAGTTAATGTGTTTAAGTTAAGTTAATGTATAGTCAGAATAAAATCTGTGTATCTGTGTTTAACTGTGTTTTAAGCGGATTCAAAGAAAAACAACACATTTACTTTTACAGGTGAAAGATAAATAATTTGGTTGTAGAACGGATATTTAGAGAATAATGTATATAAAATGGTGTCTGAGAACTGTGCAAGCGAAACGAACGCAGCTTGACTGTAGGTGTGTTAACCCCTTAAATTGTTCTAGGTTACACCAATACTGACGTATTACACCGTTCACTGTATCCAGTGTTATTGTCATTTAATACAGAGAAACGTGTGATAACCGCTCAAATCTCATTGTTATGTATATTCGCCAAGATCGGGTTCGAGGGTTGACACTTTATTATGTTTCCATAAGATCATATTTTTTCTTCTAGTGCCTAAATATGGTGATATCGAACTGGTATACCACATTAAAACTTAGGCTAGGGCATTTCATATTGATTAAAATCAATGTCCAACGATTGTGTTGATGGCTGTCTCAAGCTCTGTTAATATTATAGCGAATTAAAAACTAAGACATTAAATGAGCTGTGCATGAAGCATTTAATATTTACATTTGCATGGCATTG